AGATTTTAGGAGGGGAAAGGGAAAGGGATCAGGACTACATATGATGGCAGTACTGGCTGAACCTGGAGCTTCAGTGTGACTTAGGTCTGCCTTGTAAAGTTAATACTGACTGAGGGTCAAAAGAATTTGTGGACCTACATCTAGAGATGTGCATTAGTGTTCTAGTCATTCTAGATTTATACATTATATTTGAGGGTTTCCCTGCATATCCAAATTAGGTTGTTTAATATATTACAGCTTCTGTTTTATGAGAATTAAGATCTATAGACTATGAATATCACTGCTGTAGCATTTTGAAGATAAGAGTGGAATCCGTGGGTGTACAAATGCTTTGGAAATGGTAGTAGCCTCTTGATGAATGACTACATTTTTTTGCCCTCACTAAAACTGTAAACACAAAGACAAAATTATATATTCTACTGAAGCAGCAGTGTTCTGTATTTAATTTTTAGAAATTCCTGTTGTCATAAGTGGGTGATAACTGTCAGCTGACACAGTGAGACTTACTTTGTCTGAAACAGAGTAGACAAAGTTACTAGTCTATGCTGCCCACATACTACTTTAATCTTCCAAGTGTTTTGTAGTATTGCATAACCATAGTTATGTAGCCTGTGATGTAAAATAAATGAAATACTGATGCAGCAGTTTTTTTAGACTGTTGCTGCTTGCAACAAGGAACCAATACTGGTAGTACTAGGCCCCCTGTCACTTCATTAAGAAAAGTGTATTAAAAAAGGCATTTTGCTTTTTCATTCTGTGAAAATACTGTGATTGGTATTGACTGGGGTATCTTGCCAGTTGTATGGGAAAGTGGGGAGAAATGTCTTACAAGCTGGTGGTCAAAACAATGAGTTAGGTGGGGAATGGTGCTTACCAGTAAGGGTACCTTTGCTTTTATTCCTGTGAATAGTTTCACTGAAGGTGAAACTGGAACAGCTAGATGTAAGTCCCAATGCCAGGGACGGCAACCTAACAAAAAGTAAGACTTCAGACTGTGTTTGTATATTAGGTCCAGAAATGGTATGCACTTGCCTTTCTGCCTCAGATTATATTTTAAACCTCTATGTCTAGTAGAACCCCATTTTTATGGAATTTGAGATTTCTTAAAGGCTGTCAGAGGCTGAAAAGTGTAGAAACAGTTCCAGCAGGGATACATTTGAGCAGACCAATGTTAAAATCCGTTCTTAAGGGCCAGTTCTTGTGATATCCCAGAGTAATGAGATTACTTACTGTTAAAGTCAATTTGTAGGTTGGTTTGTTATTTGGAAAGGTATAGAATTAATGATGTGCTAGCTAAATGCCACCTGCTGCTGCTTCTTTTGTAGTGGTAGCAGCAGCAAAAGCAATGTTTCTTGATAGTAGTATGTGCATTTTATAGTTGCCGCTTCTGTCTTCCCAGGATTTTCATGGCGAAGGAGGCAGAACAGTGATGGAGGCCTTGGTGTGCCTGCGTCTGGAGAATGTGTTTGCACTGGTAGCCAGTGTATTGCTGTAATACAGACTTACACTGATGCAGATGGAGTCTTGGACTCTGCTCATGTTAGTGGGATTCTGCTGTTGTCTCGTAGCGTGCACTGTTTTCCCTCTCTTCCCCAGACCCATCAGACTTACTGACTTGGACAAGTGTATGACTATTGATTTTTGAAATATAAATTGCCATTTAGAGCTAGAGACTGAAAAGTTGAGAAAACCAAGTGTTCATTCCTTCTCTTGTATTCTCTCGGCTGCAGGCTTAGAAAAGCATGTCAGGAGAGTGGTGTGTAAACAAGTTTTCTTTAGTGTGTCTCATAATAGTAAGATTCCTAAATGTCTGTGAAGCTAGATGGGTCAAAAAGTTCAGTAACTAAAGCTGAACCAGGGCATGAGGAAACAAAACTCTCTACTTAGCTGAATTCTGCAATATTCGTTCCTTATGTATATGACTGGGTCACATCTAGGAAAGTTCTTTGCAGTCACTGCCTATATTGCCATCAAGTATAATTTTCTTTGTTTTAACAAAGGTTAAGTGCTTTTTACTATAAATGAACTGTGAACATTAGAACCTAGTTATAAGGTGAGGTTTTGGAAGGCAAAAAAACTTGTTTTCAGTATTTGGTTAAAACTGTATGGAAATGAACATCTGAACTGAAAATATCAAGCTCAGGTGTTAATGGTGAACATTCATGCTCTCTAGCCTGGCAAATTTTGCAGGTATTGTTTCTGTAAGGATGTGCAATGTATCCTTTAGTCTTTCTCCAGACTCTGCCATTTCTCTGAAACTACCCAAGTACTTCATTCTGTGTGATCAGTTCCTTTACTGGGGCTATTGAGGAAAAAATGTTTTAGTTCTGACTTGACTCAGTTTTACTCCGTCTGGTATGGAATTTTTTATTCAGTCTCATATGGAATTAGGAAGAGTAATTCCCTCTTTTAATATTTTTTCTATTGCTACTGTGTCTGTCCAGATGCACTAATCTAGAGTTGCATGTGGGTAATGTATCTTAAGCAACCTGCAGAGGTAGCATATGCATGAAGGCTACTTAGGTGATGTCTGAATTTATTATATACAAATGAATCTACTTCATGTCAAGTGGATCAGTATGACTTGTATAATACTGCTGTGGTTTAACCTCAGCCAGCAGCTAAGTACCACGCAGCTGCTCGCTTGCTCCTCCCCCTTGTGGTGGGATGGGGAAGAGAATTGGAAGAAGATAAAACCTGTGGGTTGAGATAAGAAAAGTTTAATAATTGAAACAAAATATAATAATAATTGTAACGAAAAGGGAGACAACAAAGAGAGGAATAAAACCCAAGAAAAACAAAAGAAGTGATGCATGATACAGTTGCTTACCACCTGCTGACCGATGCCCAGCCTGTCCCCAAGCAGTGATTGGGTGCCTCCTGGCCAGCTCCTCCAGTTTCCATACTGACCATGAAGTTGGTATGGTATGGAATATCCCTTTGGCTGGTTCGGGTCAGCTGTCCTGCCTGTGCTCCCTCCCAGCTTCTTGTGCACCTCCTCATTGGCAGACCATGGGAAACTGAAAAGTCCTTGACTTAAGAGTAAGCACTACTTAGCAACAGCTAAAATATCAGTGTGTTATCAACATTCTCATACTAAATCCAAAATGCAGCACTGTACCAGCTACTAGGAAGAAATTTAACTTTATGCCAGCTGAAACCAGTACAAACACCTACCAGCCTTCAGTAGGATCTTGAAATTCCTCTTATGCACATGCAGGCCATCTTAGTTTGGAAAAAAAAAGGCAGAAATTACTCTGTCCACAGGTCTTGCAATCTTACTTTGATATGCCAAGTCACATGATTTTCCAATTGTTTTTTCAATAACTACTTGAAGCTATGGAGTATTCAACCAAAAAGTACCCTCCTAAGATTTTTTTTTTCCTACATGGTCTCTGCATTTCTGAAAACTCTTTCCATTTGGGCAGCAAAGAAACTTCCTGGTTGTGCTTGAAGAGGGATGGGGGATGTTTCTGGACCAAGGAGAGACTCTCAGGCTGCTTCCAAGATAGAAGCCAAGCCTGGCATGGGGGGACTTCTGGAAGGAAAATCAAAGTCTTTTGGGGATCTCTGTCCATAATCTTCCGGGCTGGAGATGTCTGTTGCGTGTTCTTGATCTGTGTGTGGTTATAGCTTCGGGGAAAAAGTTTAAGGCAAGGCTTGAAATATTTGTGTTGAGATTGCAAAAAATAAGTTCCCCCAATAAGACACTGGTAGAACTCCGTAATTGTCCTGGAAAATAATTGGTATTTCACTTAAAAGCTAAAGCAAGCTCTTCATTGTATTGAATGGGATTCTCAAAGTTGACAGGTATTTGCTTCTGTTCCTTCTTTCGGTGGAATTGTTTTTTACACTGAGGTGCCGGTTGCCTTCTGAAAAAAATTAGTTTCCCTTCTCCTAGCTGTGGATGTGGTGGAGATCTTCAGTTCTCCGTTCCATAGTGCTTGGTTTCAGACTTTGCTGGGTAGGCTTGGTTTTTGCATGTTGTCTGTGAATGTCCAGGTCAGCATAGCCCTTGAAGTCTCTTTCTTAGTTATGACGTGTTTGAAAATTCTCTGTGCTTGCTTCACTATTGTGAGCCTTTCACTGATATCTTACAGGATGAAAGCATTTACCTCAAGCAAGTGGAGGGTTGAAATGTGGAACTGCTTCTTGGCTGTCATAGGCAGCACTTGTGTGGTCAGCTCTCTAGAATGCGAGGGCTGTGCAAGTGCTTTGTCTTCCCTTCTCCGGCTCTCAATTTAACAGCTTATCCTCTGTCTTTTTTCCTATGCATGGCATTTCTGCAGAGGTGGTTTAGTCATGATACTCTGAAAAGCTGTAATTCTCTGAAATATTTGAGCAACAGTTGCAGTTGAACCTTATCCCTAGTGTGTGTAAAGAAGCAAGAAAACTGAACTCTGCAGAGCAGCTGTTTAATGGTGGAGCTTTTGTTCCTGAGAATAAAACCTCTTGCAGGGTACTGATTTGGTAAAGAAACATTAAAGTACGGAAAAGACTTGTACAACTGTCTATTGTATTTAGCAATCTGTAGACACTGGTAGTTTCCAGGTAACCACTTCTGACATCTTGCTAGCTGGGTTGTTGGATATGCCATCCACAGGGTGTGTATTTAGACTTTTCCATAAGTCCAAGGAGCCATCTGTGTGAGGAAAAATGGATTTGAAGGAGTGAGAAAGCAGATCAGTGTCAACTTGGTGATGCAAATCTTCCTAGGGTAACTGTATAGCTAGTTTCCTTTTTGGGTGTCCCTCCCTGTTACCACATAAGGGTGCCTGAAGAACATAGGATTATTAAGCAACAAATACTAAGAGGGAGTTTAGGGTCAGCAGAAGTTTCTGAGCTGACTTTGAACATACCTCTGAATGGCATATGATACAGGTTACTGTAGTCCCTTTCTCAACTGAGCAGAAGAGATCTGGAAGAAAATTATTTTCTTAAAATCTTCTACTACCTAATTCTTAACTTTTCTCTTCTGTGCAGACACTGTGCTGTAGAAGATGCACTATTACCGATACTCTAATGCAGAAGTCAGCTGTTGGTACAAATACCTGCTCTTCAGCTACAACATTGTCTTCTGGGTGAGTACGAAATGTGGAGACTGAAATAATTTATTAACTTCCTTCCTCTGTTCAAGAGAACAGGCTGAAATATTTCCCTGAAAGCAGGAAGATGATATATGGTATGTCCCAGGTGTTTTGGAATTGAAGAAGCCTATGCCATGTGAGAAAGTAATTGTTATTGAAAATTATATAGATACTGATTCCTCACAATCTTTCCTTTCCTTTCCCCTTCTTCCTGTCTTATCTTCTGTGTGAAGATAAAGGACTGAAGCAGATAAAACTGGTTTTCTTGGTTTTGTTTTTTTATGAAGAAAGGAAAGATCTGCTTAAAGGATTTGTCAAAAGAAAATAGTATAGTCTCTACTGTTGTTGACAAGGCCTCTGTCTTTTGAATGATGGAGGCCATTAAATGCTGGTTGTGTCTGCGCAAAGGTTAAAGCTACCTTTAAGTACACTTAAGTGGTATGTTAAAGTGCTTCCCTGTTAGGAGAAGTCTCTCTTCTAATATTTCCTTTGAGATCATCTTTGAGGTCTGTGTTGGGGTGGTGTAGCTGTAAATACACTATACAGAAGAGAATAAAGGAACTGCCCCAGAGATATGTCAACAGCTGGCATTACAACATAGTCAAGACCTTAAATGTCATGCTCTGTGGGCAGCAAAATTATCTGATACTGTCTTGAAACACTTAGCAAGCGACTAGCCTGCCTGTAATGTTTGTTTCAAATTGTGAATGTGAAAAGGGTGCAAAACCAAATGTGTGGCTTTAGATGTGTAAGAGGGTCAAGATCACTGGAGCATGTACCTACCTTGGAAAAGAAGGCTATTCAAAGGTTAGTGCATAGGGTTGCATTGGAAATAGTTAACATGTCTGTGAAGGTAAGGATGCAGTTCAGATAAACTTGATCATTCTTTCCAGAACTTGCAGGTGAAATGTTAAAAGTTCACACCTGCAGTCATAGAAACTGCATTCATGGAAAGACATGGGTAGTCATGGAGAAGTGTAGAATCAGTGACTTGCCTGGATTAATGTTCTGATTCAGAGTTGAAGTATTTCTTTAGAACAGGCTACCCATACTAAGATGTTTAGATTTTTTCAAAGCCAAAAGGATCAGATAGTAAGAATGAAAGTATGGTATCTGGTTGAAGCAACTTCTTTAAGAGTAAAAATTGAGAATTGATTCTCCTGATCCTGACTTACCTGAGATAAGTAGGCATGCTAGAGAAGATTATATTGACTCTATTTGTTTACTGTGATTCCTTAAACCATGTCAACTTTTTACTACCTAAAATTTCAGATACACAGAATCTAAATACCCAAATCTGTATTTAACTTCAGTAAAAAAAGGGATTTTGTATCTGAACGTAAATTGCAGACTGCAGAATCTTGTTCATGCTTGTCAAAAATGACTTGGTATTTTGCTTGATTAACCCACATAAACTTCTGGTAAACTTAAGTTGGCATTTCTGCACGTTTTGGCTGCATGGCGGTATTTAAGGTAGAAAATAAGCTTTTTGAAAGCTGCATGTATGATGGACAAAACTCTGAATTAATTTAGAATCATGGAGAAGTCTAGCTTTGGAACAAACCATCAAATGGAAGGCTGGGTTGGATAGGGCTTTGAGCAACCTGGTATAGTGGAAGGTGTCCCTGCCCATGGCAAGGGAGTTGGAATGAGATGATCTTTAAGGTCCTTTCCAACCCAAACCAGTCTGTGATTCTGTGAACTTCTGGAGGTCATCTGGCCTAATTTTCTGTTGAAAGCAAGACCCGTAGGGTAGGAAATCACTGCTCAAAGAGAAGAGCTGGGAGTCTTGTGAGCTTTTTACTCGTCAATTTTCTGCTGTCTTCAGCCTAATAAGAATGTTAGATGGCCAGGTAATAGTGAGACTGCAATGTTTGGGTATTGTTGAAAACCACAGAACTTTTTGCTGCTGTCACTGCCTCTTGTTTTAGTGCAACGTTTTAACATGGTACTGTAGTATTAAGCCACAGGGCAGTTTATCCTTGTGTGGATAACAGGGCAGAAAAGACGTGTGGTTTGTGTAGTAAGGGTTAATTGACCACAATATTGCTATAGTGCAAATGTTCATTAGTGATGATTTTTTTCCTCCTAGGAATTGAGGATTCCCATCATGTCCTCGTGTCAAAAAGTATGTGCTCAAAGGCCACCAGCTCTGTAGTTATTTTTCTTCTTCTATATAGTACAGCTTTCATATACCTCTAGTGGGGTGTGGTGCAATGAAAAGTAGTATTTGTCAAGGTGCTCTGGTTTTCAGAGAAATCACTTTGTAACTGGGTGGGTGCTCTTCAGCAGATAGTGTGGGGGCATGTGAGATATTGACAGACTCTTCTGTTCATGAATATATTAGGATTGTTCTAGACCTCTACTTTTTCTGGTAAGTGTCTCATGAAGTGGAGTCTACTACTGTTTTTGATGGGTAAACAACCTTTGAAAAACTGAAATTGTCTTTACTGGGAAGACTATGAAGAATTTGCCTCTGCTTTTTCACAGGAATTAGTTTTGCCTCTTTCTATTTTCTGTTTTATTCCCTGCAGAGTCACTACATTTCACTTTTTAAAAATTTCTTTTTTTACGGTATTCTCTTGAAATTAATGATGAAGATCCAAGGATTTTTCTTTTCCTTAAAGAATCATTTTTAAAGAAGTGATGCAGAAAAAATGAGGAGAATTTGAAATACTGCTTGTGTGTTTCAGCTGATCTGTTGGCCGGAGGAACTGGTTTTCTGAAGAGGTACTAGTAATCTTGGTAGCTTGCTCAAGGAACAATCTGAGGCTTCTGCTCAGAAGTTATTATCAGACTGACCTAGTAAATTATGTGTAACTACAGCTGTTTTGATAAGAGTTAGGCACCTTTAGTTGTAGAACAAGCTATGTAAATGTTGTGTAGGAGGGTAGGCACTCCTACAGGCAGCACACAAGTCATTTAGCTGACTCGGTGATTCAGGAGCCTATGACGTCCTGCTGGCTGGGATGAGTAGCCTAACAGTCTCTTTACTTGGACAAATCCATTGTGTATGGAACAAAGTAAATTTTCTACGTGCATTAAAAGAACTGAAGGATTACAAAATCAGATAGGAAATGTAACCATGGCTTGAAAAAAGAGCGTTTAAGGAGGGAATGTTACTCTTGTTTCACTTTTCTTGGCTTGCAGGACAGGTGCTTGTGGGAGCTTGTTTTGTGAGTGTTTGTGTCAGCGAGGGCGGCCACTACATAATGGGTATGAGGGATGGTATTTAGATAGATGTGCAGCCAGCCTTTTGCCCATTTCAGTTGTTACTGGAGGTATGATGGTAGCTCACCTGTGTCTCAACTCATGACACAGTTTATTCACAAGCCAGGTAATTTGCATGTCAATAAAGTTACATTTGTTCTTCTGTCAGGGTTACTAAAGATGCATGTTAACTTCCCTGTTGTAGTTCTAAAGATAGTATCAGTGACTGTATAAACTTTAAAGCATATGGTGACCTAATAGTTTACAGAATATTTAACCTTAGTGGGTGGTTACTTTTCTTCAGTTTGTGTCGTGTTTCAAATAGAGTTCACGTATATTGCTGTGGAACAAAATATTGAACTCAAAGGACAAATATTACTATTTTAATAATGGTAAGCTCACAGTTTAATCATCCTTTAGAAATCTGTAAGTCTTCATTCTTTGGAATCTCTTTTTTCAGATGTGGAACTTGGCAATAGAATATTCAGTTCTGATGGCTTTGAGTTAGTTGTGTATGACTGGCTTGCAAAATCACTTCTTTATTCTTTGTGCTTGGCTTTCTATTGTAAGAAAGAGAATGGAGGTCATAGGAAGGCTCAGTCTTCCTAGGCATGATGTTAATGTGGGATTACTTTATTTCCATCTTGCTTTTTAAGCATGCTAGTAAGATTTAACTTCTCCAAGTACAATTGTTTCAATGAGTAGTGATGAGGCAGTATTGCAACCATTAAGATAGCCCTGCAGGGAGTGCTCGGAAGTTTAAGTGAAATTACCCTATTACAGCAAGGCTGGACCCCCTTTTGAGTTTTAAAGCTTTTTATTTTTTTTGGTCAAATAGCTTCATTTTTCATGATGAAATCAAAAGACTGCAGTAATACAAGGTGAAGAGCTTGGTTCTGGCACCTTTCTGTTCTGAGTCATTTTGCAATTGAGTGTGTCCTGTGAAAGCCTCAGTGGAGAGAGGAGGCAGGGGGTGCACAGGGGAGTGCAGGGGTGCCCTGTCTTGGGGTGCAGCACTGCTGTAGACCTTCCCAAGTGCAGGCTGGAAGGCACAGGGAATAAAAAGGTGGTGCCTCAGTCGCCTGTCTCTGGTATTTGCTTCATTGTCTCCAGTTGAAGGATTTTTTTTTTGGGGTGGTCCAAGAATTGCACTTCAGCCAGGACATGGCTGTTTTAATGAAGGATTGCATGTGTGCTCTGCCAAAGCCTTTTAGATTGCATGTGAGCTCACTGTCTCTCAGGTGAATTGAGAGGAGAGGGTAAAATGGCTTTCAGCTGCTGTGATCTTGATTTATCTTCTAATGGTCTGTAGCTTTGTGTGTGGCTCTTAAGGGAGATAAATACAACTTTTCACTCCTGCTCTAGGAGATGTGGCATTGTTTCCTTAAACATGATGATGAAGGACAAAAATTCTCCTAAGTTCTGGAAAAGAATTCTGAGCTCGTTTTTGAAAAGTAAGAGGAGACCTAGGTTAGCATAAGACTTTCTTGGATTTTGCAGTGTATGTTGTTTTTCAGAAAGATCTAAAACAGCAAGACTGTGCCAGGAAGAGGAGAGAATCCACCACCAGGTGGTTTCCTGACCTTGAGAGGAAAAGTCTGGGAAGAGACAAGGGTAGGAAGGAAGGGCTGTAGGCTGCTGATTGCTCCAGCATGGGTGGAGCTACTGTAAAATAGGATTGTCCGGGGATGGAAAAAGTGTTCTCTGAGAGTAACGTTTTGTTTTCACAAAAACGGAGAACGATAGGAACGCATTTGCCACTGCTTCTAATCAGACCTTGTGGCAGACTGACCCAAAATAAGTTTGTGTGCAAGAATTATGTTTAGCTGCAACCTAGATTTGAGAAACAAATTAGACTTGTTTTCTCAGTAGGGTGATTCTAATAGTGTAGTCAGAGGAATTCAGAGTGTGTTTGGGAGCAGATAATGCTTAAGCTAAGTGGCCTTGTGCATGGTGTTTGTGACTTGGTGTCAGTATTGTATGTTTCCTGAGCAGAGCTTGCAGCTCAATGCGGTATGTTAATAAAGTGCATTTTTCAGTTCTAAAGCAGGAAATGACCAAATGCTGGTTACTGGTTTTAGTTTCCTGTTCAAAGGGGTACAGTTGAGCTGCTTTGTGTATGTTTCCATCTAACCTTTCATGTCATATCTGACTTAAATGACTCTACGACATAGAAGTAAATTGGCTAGTCCCATTTATTCTTGCTTACATGTCATCCACGTTCTGATGAAATGTGAATTTAAAATGCCTCTCTCTTGAAATAGCTGACTTGCTCACTTTCACCCTGGGAACATTTTTGGTTAGCATCACTACTTCTTAGCTGCCTGTTCTCCTGTTCACATGGCCAGTTAGTTCAGTGACCTGATGAAAGTTAAAACTTTTCTTTTCAATTCAGGCTGCATTAGTTCCCTGGTCTGCTTCATAGCAGTCACTTGAATGCCTGTGTGCAAGGGTGGTAAAGAGAGGGTATTTTCCTGGTGCTAATTCTTTGTAGAACGCTGTATTGGGTATGCTCAATTGTGCTAACTTCTGAGGTAGTTTTATCACCATGGTGTGTTTTACAGTAGTTTTCAATGAGAGGCTTACTTGCACATGGTATTTAAAGCAAAGAAATCTCATTTGGTTAAATAACTTACCATTTTACTTCCTTGCAAATTGGTTGTCTTGGTAATTGTGCCTGTAAATGTAGCGGCTTATGGCTTTGTTTCTTCTGCAAGTACATCATACTTCACTCTTTTTTGCTAAAGAAACCTAATGTATGTGGTTTGGCTGCTTCTAGTGAGAATTATGAATCACGTGTGTCTTAGCTGAATTAATTTTTGGATTTATCCATGTTGATTCTATGAGACTAAGTTTATTTTTCTGCTGATAAACTCTTGTTTTAGCTTGCATGGGTACTCATAGAAATAACTTTGCAAAAAGTGTAGTTTTGTGAAACTGCATTTTATAAAAACATGAGAGCATTGTTTTTGTTCAGAGGTGAGAATGAAGCATGCTAGTGAAAAATCTTCTTAAGAATTTATTACAACTTAATTATGATGGTAATTATAATGAAAGGCAGCCAGTCTGAAGAGGGCACCCTGTTTGTATATTCACTAGCACAGTATTAGTGTTACACTAACATTAGTTTGTATACAGAGTGTGAAAGATGTGTCTTCCCAATTATTTTTTCCTCACTTTTTTAGAAAAAGTTCCCAAAGATGCAGCTGTGAAATAGCTGTCTACTGTGTAATATACCTTGATTACTGCAAATTGTACCAGCTGGCTTCACCTGTCTCCCAGTGTTCCTGGAGTGTTTGGAATGAGAAGGGGTGAAGGATGCATCAATTGCATGCACTGTGTAACTTAATGACATACAAGTTTGACTATTGATATTTTTTTCTGTTTTGCTTCTTCATCTGAAAATCACTAGGTTAAGATTTGGGCGTAATCTGGGTCAAAATTCTGTTTATACTGATGTGGTTTTTAATAGTATTTTTAAAGTTGTGCTTTGATCCAAATCATCACTTTAAATGTTCTTAGCTTATTCAGAGTCTGAGATGAGTAGTCATTGTGCTGTTGCTTATTAAGAAACATCTGGAAATTTGACTTATTTAGCACTGTTTTACCCAGTTGTAACTCTCTCCATGTATTAGTAGTAGATTTGATTGATTAATCTGTGTGCGTAAGCCCTGGAATGCGGCATATAGTACTTCATGCCTAGACAGAAGTGTCTAACATCATTTGAGTAATCTTTACAGAATGACAGGAATGACACTTGCAGCCTCTTTTGGCTTTCCTTTCCCCCACTCCCCCCCCAGCAGAGTAAACCCAGAACAACTTCATTTGGCCTTAGTGCAGTTCAGAGTCAGCAGTCAGTGAACCCAGCGGTACTTAAAATCTACACATGTATTTTCCTGTGTGACTCTAAGAGGGTCCCATTTTTGCTTCTTGGCTGTGCCGTGGGGAATTGCCTGTGATGCCTGTTTAGTTCATGGGAGGTGCTGCATTTCCTAGAGGAAAGGGCCTCTTTTTCAAGGTGTTTTTCCGTTACTGGGTTTTGCATGTCAATGTGTATAAGGCTTGGGCTGGGAAGGAGCAACCTCAGTCCTTTTTATAGGATCATAGAATCATTTAGGTTGGAAAAGACCTTTAGGATCATCAAGTCCAACTGTGAACCTAGCACTGCCAAGTCCACCACTAAGCTATGTCCCTGAGTGCCACATCTACACATCTTTTAAACACCTCCAGGGTTGGTGACTCAACCACTTCCCCGGGCCTGTTCCAATGCTTGACAACCCTTTCTGTGAAGAAATTCTTCCTAATATCCAATCTAAACTTCCCCTGTCACAACTTGAGGCCATTTTCTCTTGTCCTATCACTTGTTATTTGGGAGAGGAGACTGACCCCCACCTTGCTACAGCCTCCTTTCAAGTGGTTGTAGAGAGCGATCATGTCTCCCCTCAGCGTCCTCTTCTCCAGGCTGAACAACCCCAGCTCCCTCAGCTGCTCCCCACCAGACCTGTGCTCCAGACTCTTCACTGGCTTTGCTCCTTTTTGGACATGCTCCAGCCAGCACCTCAGTGTCTTTTAAGGTTACATGGACATAGCAGGGTAGAATGCCATTTTAAGTAATGAGGGGGAGCTGCCCTCAGTTTGTAGAGAGATCATTTTAGTTTGATTATTGAAGTTGGATATTAAAGGCAAACTGCCTGAGAATGGAGAAAAGGAATAAAAGGCTAGAACAAGGATCTCTTGCTTCATGTGGATTAATATAATTCATAAATATTTATTATGCAAACATGAATTGGTGTGGAGTTTGTATATTGTCAATTAAATTTGTTGCTTATTGAAAGTAAGTGGATGGACCATTACTTCAGCTTAATTCAAAAGGGCTTAAGGTAAGGATTCAGAAGACAAACTGTATCTAATTAGAGAAGAGACTAATATAACAAGCCTTGACACTGAGAAGTTATGAAGAGTCAAGCATGGCTACTGTCTGGGGTGGCAGCATAAAATGACTAAATAGGGAATAACCTCAAAATGCATTAAATACTCTGAAATCTTCATTAGTGTGCAGGCAAAAGGTTTAGAGCAAGTCATTGGGACAAGGATAACTCCCACTTGCATGCTGCTTTGTGGAATTGTTAATTTGGTACTGTTTGCTTCTTGAGTAATCACGAATAATAAAATTGAAATACTTCTTTAAAGTAGTTTATAAAATGCAAGAGTACTGTGGAATAAAAGCACTCTAAATCCTTTTTGCGAGAGATTGACTCATGGGGATGAATGTCCCATTACTATTGTTTGAGATTACAGACAATATTTGTTTTACTTGACCAACAGTGCTGCTGGCTTAAGTGTTTTGAGAATGTGTTGATTAGTATACCTAATTCATTTTTTCTTTTGTTTTAGCTGGCTGGGGTGGCCTTCCTTGCGGCTGGTCTGTGGGCATGGAGTGAAAAGGTAAGGTTAGAAATGACTGGTTTTACTTTGTTTGGTGGCTGCCCTCTCCTGCCCCAGTAAAACTGCTTCCTCAGGAAGCAGCAGAGGTTAAATGTAGCATCTGAGCTCAAGGCCGTGTTCAAATGATCTAAACTGAGTTTAGTTGGAGTTTCATTCTTGTCCCTGATCAGGTGTTAAGCTAGCCCTTGATGTTTAGACCTTTTTTGCAAACTTGTAAGAGCAGGATGCTAGGGAGAATTTAATCTTTATTCATAATCTTTATGAACAGGTTCTTTTTTGAAAGCATGTTTTCTAAAATACAGTTCTACCTACCTCTTTTTATTAAAAACAGGAAACATTTGGGAAGACTGTAAAAGATATCTCTCTTTATATTAAAAAAAACACAACCACACACTAAAAAACCCCATGGATCTTTGGGACCATCTTTCTGAAATATTCCAGTCTTCAGGCTCTCTATCTTCTACTTTACTCCCCATGGACTTGCTTAAGTGATTGTCTCCATGTAGAGGAACAAAATTGGAGAATATGTCTAGCTGAATAACACACTGATTTTTGCAAAGGTTTCTTTCAACTGAATAACTTCCTCAATCAGAGGAAATCTGTGTGGGCATGTACCTACAGAGTTCTCTTGTTACAAGAGAAGAGATGATATAGGTATGGAAATGAATGGTTCACACGCTTGTTATGAATGTAAAAGCATGGCTTTAATATGACTGTGAGCAGTAGGAAAAAGTGACAATTACTAGCAGATTTACTGATCTGCATCTTAATTAACAGTGGAGGGCAGGTGCCCTCACTGTTCGGTTGTGCTGCAGTGTAGGAACACTTTAATTACCATTGCAGTGTAATATTTCCTTAATCAGAGTACTTATATGCAGCAGCTGCCCACTTACAGAGAGGTTTTGGGATTCCTCCACTTTTTGAAAGTGAGTTTTATGATGATCTTAATGCTGAGGTATTTATTCTTCTTCTCCCTGCTCCCTATGTGTGTGCACGTGTTCTCACAACTAGATTAGTCATATTATTGATACATAGTAAGCAGCCTATCTCCACACAGAGATGCATTTACTGCATATTCTGTTTCTGTAAAAGGGTTTTCTTTCCAACCTTTAGGGAGGGTGTTGAACTTTTCTTGAACTTATATACTCTCATGTTCAGACATTATCTTCTGTTCTTTAAAGAAGCACATAGGATCTATGTGGTTGGAAGTCACTAGCTCACAAATGCCTTCATTTGCCAAATGGACTTTATGGTACACTGAAGTTACTAAAAGGCAAAGACAGACTCTTTCTGTCTGTTTCTTAAATTTTACCTGAACTATTTCTACTCTGTCCTATCTTGCAAATAAATGCTTCAAAGCTTTTCCTGTGGTTCTGAACTTCTGAATGACTCATGAAATCTGTACGTTGTTTTTCATGTCTGTTCTGTGCTGTGTGGATAGTCACCATACTTAGTGCCATTCTTCAGCCATAGTGCTTGTATGGATCTGTTTACAACTCAACATCTTGGTGAACAATAGTTAGGAAGTAAGAGAAAAAACATTCCAGAAGCTGTGCTGCAGTGATAAACCCAAAGATAAACTACAAATTCTGGAAAGTTTGAACATCCTCTCTTAGTGCAACATGAAGTACATTGTGTCCCTCTAACTTCTCTGTTTTTTCTTGTCTTTTTTTTAAAATAAGACTACACTTCAGATTGATTCCTTAGCAATATCTTTTTCTGGATGTAAATCCTGTGAATCTCTTTTAGCTGATAATATATTGAAATGAGAATCCTGGTTTGTGAGAAATGTTGAAAATACTAGATGTAAAAATGTTACTGATACTGATTTGTGTTACCTGTTTGAGTCAAATCCAGGGTCTTTAATTGGTATATCTAATTGGCGTATCCTTGTGATCTCATAACTGGGTTTTGTTATTCTGAACAGTCACATAAAAGTTAAATTGCATAAAATATTGAAAGTCTACACAATAAAAACTGGATAGGTGTTAGTATCTGTCACCCAAGAGATGTTGCAAAAATCACTAAGAGAAAGTAAATTATAATAAACTGTTAATAGAAGCAAGGTGAATAATACTGAGCCCTCTCATCAGGGAAACAGGTTTTTATTAGTTAAAACCATTTCAAGAAGGACACAAAGGAAAATCTGGGAAACTAGAGGCTAGTCAGCCAAACTTCATTCTAGCAAGTTCATGGCTAATGACAAATCGAGACAGAGCAGTCAGTCTACTTCAAAACAAACCTGTTATTTAGAGAGACTTTAGGAACATGGAGAAATGGATGGACAGGAATATTATGAAAGTTTATTAAAAAAAAAGTAAATGCAAAATCTTGTGCCTGAGATGGAGTAACCCTGTGCATCAGTATGGGCAGGGAGTTGACTGCCTAGAAAGCAGCTTTGTGAGGAAAAAAATGTGAGCTCCTGTTGATCAGTAAGTTGAATATCAGGTGTGCCCGCATGTCAAGGCCAACAGGGTACTGGGCTATATTAGCACCAATGTGGCAGTGGTTGAGGGAGGAGCTTCCTCCAACAGTACTCATCACACTTGAGGCTGCATCTGGAGTACCATGTCCGCTTTTGGGCTCCCTGTGTCAGGTCTTTTCTAATCTTAGTGTACTTATTCTTTAGTCTCCTGATCTTTGTGCTCAGAGGTATGTAAACTATCTAAAGGTATATGTGCATGTAACCTGTGTTACAATCAGTGGCAGTGTGATATTGTGACAATCAACATCCAGTTGACAGAACTTCATTATAAGAAATCAACTCTGTCCTTGTCAGATATATCTTGTAGTTTCCATACTAGGGTGTCTCAAAACAGTAACTGGTTTGGCATTTGTTAATGGGCTGTATTAGAGATTATTTTTTTTAAGACAATCCATGTTTGCCCTCTGCCAGCTCACTTCAGTTGAGACAGTGGCATAATGCTTACAAACATCAAAAGAAAGTGGAAAACAAGTTAATCATGTACCATTGAATGCTTAATTCACTGAGTGACTGAAAGGAAGACTTAAAGGCTGAGTTTTGTTCTTGGATCTTTTTGACACTGACTTCAGGTACCAGACTTCATTTCTGTATATCTGTAAGAAATCTAGGTGCTGTTGTAAAGGGCAACCTGAGCTTCAAAGAGCTTTTACCATCCTGCAGATGGCACAGGCAGAAGCATCCTTAGAGAGATGAGTAAGGTGGAATGAGATAGTCCCCTGAATTAATTCTCTGGTTTACTTCCTTCAGGATTTTTCACTTAACATCTTTTGTTAGGCAAAAAAAAAAAAACCACAAACTTCTTTTCAAAAGAGAATTTTGTAAACATAAAATGTGAACATGAAGAAACTGTTGTGAACCAGCAACATTTGATGGTGAATAACAGAGCCCAGTTCCTGCCAGCTTTTGTTCATAACATGCTTTGATCAGAGGAAGTTTTCTTTCAAAAGGTGTTGCTTGAGCAAGTGAGATTGACTGGAAAAAAAAAATGTTTGAGTTTGGTTGTGATAAGGAGACAGCTGGAAATAGTTGTGAAAGCTTCGACATCCTGGTGATGCGGTGTTTGATTTCATAGTGTATTAGTTCTACAAAGACACTGAATTAGCCTAGCTAATCTTGGCATGTCTTACTTGATTGTTGGGTCCGAGCCAAAGTTTGATTAGGTGGAACTCTCATAATTAACCCAGTAGACCAAGTTTGATAGTTAGCTATGAGGTCTTACAGTTAGTAAGAATGAAATGTGTCTAAGAATGGAAATGTGTCACTGGTGACACCAACTGGAGAAGTCTTTGCTTCTCAAGACTTTTTGAATGGTGAGAAATCTATAAACCATGAGCCCTTTTAACAGGCTATGTCAGCTGTTAGTCACCAGCTATTGCAAAGCAATTCTGAATTCTGCTGTTCAGTTGGTTTTCTTTTCATCCATTCAACCAGTTTTGGTAAAAACTCTATTGCCTTGCTGTTGCCAAATTAACACCTCTAACAAGATCTGTCATGGAACACATTATGAAAGAAGATGGGCTGCTGTGTATCACTATAGTACTGTTAATCACTGTCTTTTCATCAGCTGATGAAATTTCTCCATGTGCATGTTTTCTTCTAATGCTGTATTTTGAAGCCATTATTTTAAAGTAAGTGTTTAAATACAAAGCGATATTGTTTTTTCCAAGGTATTATCTTATGGTGTATATTCTTTGCACTTAACTCTAGCACAGATACCTGAGTAGCAAGATGAGAATTTACATTCCCTTGACAGAATTAGACATTACGTTGAGTGTCTCCTGATATTTTTCTCTTACGCTAGATGCAGTTAGTTTGAGAATATACTTTATAAAGAATAAAACAAAAGATGGTAAACGTGTAATTATGGGACATTATACTGGGATAGTTTTTGTTATTTCTCTGTTTTAAAGGGAAAGTATTTCCTTATTAAAGTATTCTATGTATTGTTGATGAGTATATGATGAACACTGAGACAATTGCAAGGCTGCCTGGATGTCCCTACAAATTGTTCTCATTAAGAGTTTCAACTGTTTGTCCCTTTTGTCTTCTGCATGTTGCATATTGTTCTTGCACATTACATGTAAAGTTTGTATTATATGTATTTGATGGGATTTTAATGGTAGCTAGTATATAAACTTAATTTCTTTAAAATCTAATCTAGAAATGATAAGGACTTCACTGTGTTAGCATTACATTTACACAGACTTAGAAATTCTGTCCTCAGATGTAGGCAGACAGACTTAATAGGCAATATTATCGTCAGGATAAGTGGTGTCTCTGGATTGTTACCAAAAAAGAAAATGCAGTTTGCCTAATTTAGCAGCAGTAAGTATCTTATAGGGAATAGATAACTTCTTTTGGTGTAAGAATTTTACCTGGGGTGAAAGGGGAACATTTAGACTGTACTTCTGTATTTTTGCAAGATTTTGGAGGAGTGTTCCTAAGACTCTTCAGCACTAGAAGGGGTATAATGACAGTGTTGAGAGGAAAAATCTGTTTCCCTTGAAAACTGAAGCAAGATTTTGTTCCCCTCCCTTAGTGTCACCCATAATTTTTTTTGTAGTTAGAATGTCTCTCTTTCTGCCACCTAAACGTTAGGATTGGAAAAACTAGTTTAATTTTTTTAAAGACTGAAATAGGAGCACCCTTCTGATTGATGCATTTCAAGTTAATGTAAAGCATTAATTCTTTTGTCTTTCAACTGAATATTCATTTTGTTTCTAGTATTGAGCTTTTGGCACCATCTTGTGGAAGCTTGTTTGGCAAATAGACCTAGGAGAATGTAATTGGAGAAGCTGACTGCATTGGATTTACTTATTAAAATAATTAGTAGCTATAACTTTGCATTAGTACTTCCTCTGCTAGGGTGAAGAAAATTGGTATTGCCAATAACTATTTTACAACAAGACTTTTCTCTGTGGGCTGCTGTTGGCAAGCTCAAGGGTTTGCCACCAATTTGTTTGGAATTATGTGGAAATCATTGAGACCCAGAAGGAATGTTAAATGAAAAACATGCTTTTAGTGGTCACCTTTTTCTGTTATCATGTCTTTCTTTTTCAGGGTGTATTGTCTGATCTGACGAAGGTGACTGGTCTTCATGGTCTGGACCCAGTGGTGCTTGTCTTAGTGGTGGGAATAGTGATGTTTACTTTGGGGTTTGCTGGTTGTGTAGGAGCACTGAGAGAAAACATCTGCCTCCTGAAGTTTGTAAGTAACATCATCATATGAGTGGCTTATGTGTGTGAAAGCTGGGAATGATGGGTGGAGGACTAGTGACAAAGACAGGTAATTAATTTATAGAATTTGGTTTGTTACAATGTAAATGGTAAACTTACTTCTCTGGTGAGCCTCTGAGTAATGGTATTAAAAGCAGTGTGGGTTCAAACCTATGTATATTTTCCCCTTTCTGGAAAATGTTTCTTTCCTTTTTCATTCATGCTGCTATACAGTGATGTTATTATAGTATGTATACCAGAATATAACATTGTGTATGTAATATCATAAAATACGATGTTCTGGAACATTGAGTCAGTTAAGAATTACTGAGAGGAGACAGTATAGTGGCTTAGGGGAAACAAAATACCTTAAAAACTGTAAAAATTTCTTCTAAATATTTGGTGAGCAAAACTTGGGGACCTCATTGACTGATGTGAAATCTCTTAAATGGTTGGTTTTATACTGAAGCTGCTTCTTTGCTTTAGATCTGAAATCAGTTAAGCTGGACAAAAAACTATAGAACTGGAAACCATCCAAGAAATAACATCAAGACCACTTTAGCCCTGGGTTTTGCAAATTCTCATTTCTTAATATTTTCACTGCTGTGCATAATGACTGTGGTAAGGTGTTTGTTTTACTGTCGAGTTCAGGTGACCAAAACAAAATGATAACTCTACCTCTTGGGGGTTTCTTTACATTGTATTCTTATTTAACAGGGTGTGTTTTCACAGTATCTGTGTCTCTGTGGTGGAGTTGGAGTAGGGTTGCATTCAAAATGAATGGAAGTTTTCTAATTTAGGCCTTTTTTTTTTACAGTTCTGTGGAGCAATTGTGTTTATATTTCTGCTCGAGCTGGCAGCAGCAGTTCTGGCTTTCCTGTTCCAGGACTGGGTGAGAGACAAGGTCAAGGAATTCTTTGAGAATAACATTAAATCCTACCGAGACGATATTGACCTCCAGAACCTCATTGATTCGCTACAGAAAATCGTAAGTTCATACTCTGTCACTTCTTTCATGCACTCTAGGAGAATATGTAGATCTGGAAGTTTTCCTTTTTGTTACAGATTTATCATATTCTGTAGCTAATGGTGCCGTGTTACAGATGTACTTTTGCTCTTTCTGCATTAAAAGCATCAGGGAGGCAAGATATTTTGAGATACAGTGCTGTTCTGACTGCAAGTGTGGAAGCTGTGCCAAGCATCCATCTGCCTTTTAACCTTCTTGACTTGTTGTTCCCCTGTTCTGATCAGTGTTGCACCAGTTTAAGTGAGAAGCGAGCAACAAAAACCTCTTTATCCTGAAAAAATTGTGCAATGGAACTTTGCTGAGATGCACATCATCTTGAAGCAAAAATGGATTTTTGTTAACTGGGAAAGAAGACTAGCCTCTAGTCAGGCAGTTGTCGAGGAAGACTGAAACAATTTTACACTCTTGTGATCCTGAAATGCTTGGTTACCAGAAGACAGTGATGTGCACCAGGAGATGACAAGGCCTGTGGTAGTAAGGGCCTGGTGACTTTCATTCAGTCAGATGCTTTTGTAATCATGCCTGGGAAACAACCAGTGAGGATGGCTCTTCTGATTTTTATTTATTGTTGTGTGGTTATAAAGAAAAAATATATATTGAGAGAAACAGTGTACATATGTCAGTACTTCATAAAGAGGTAAAATGATTGTCTACTTATATGTTTGTTTTCCCCTTATGAAAGAAGGTTGGTTTTGTCTGTCTTCCATCTTCTAGAGGATCATGTTTAGAAATCTGTCCTCACAGCTTAATTTGATAGCAAAGCACATTTTAGAGTAGATACCAGTTTAGTCAGCTGTATGTTACCAGCAGCTTTTACCTATCCTGCTCATTCACTCTTGTGTGCATTGATATGGAAGCATCCTCTGACTAAGCTGCCTGGATGGATTTCAGTGCTGTTTTGCTTTAGCTTTCAGTGCGAAGGGCAGGCCTCCTTCTGACCATGACCGACACCAGCAATTCTCTGTGTTGTCCATTCTGTTGCTGCTCTTTCTGTTTATCTAGTTTCAGTATAGTCAACCAGGCTAATATGCTAAGCTGATTTACAGTTGAACTCTAGATAAATACTTTTCAATGAAAAGAAAAGGCTAAGCATACTAAAAGGAGTTCACTAGCCAGTTTAACAAGCTAATAAACCTGAAAAAGGGAAGACCAGAAAAATCTCCGAATCAGCCTGTTGATCCGTACCTGAAAGTACTGAGGAAGGAGAGGAGGTATGCAATGCAGATTAGCAAATGTAGTTCTGCAGGGGTTGAACAACAAGGTGCAGCGGTGTGTTCAACTGCATCACTGGAGCCCACCTTCTAAGGAGCCATGCTCTATAGGCTGAATTACCCTGTTCTCAGTATGTGCCTTGGGACTTGGAGAGCTTTTTGTAGGCAGCTCATTGCTCTGGCTAATTATGTTACTTTCAGGTCTGTAAGTGACCTCATAGTCTGTACCTTACTAAGGTAGATTAGCATGTTTAGTGGTTGTATGGCTTTTTACAAAGGTGTAGATGTGTGAGGGCAGAGGGACTAGAAAGACAAAAATGAGCCTCTTTTGCTTTCTTCATGGTAAATGTATTAGTGACTTAAAATCATTGTTTCTTGATGTTTTTTCTATTCTGACCATTCTGTTCAGCTCTTTTTAGTCACATTTCCTGTGAAAACTATGTGTAAGCAATTCTGCTGTCTGTTTGCATTGGACTGTCACAACTTGATGATAACTTCTGAATCCATTTACTGACTTAACGTTTTGGTGGTCTAGCAGACAGATTAATACAAGTTTTGTGAAGATGGGCAGTGGACAGAGGAGAGATACTAGAGATGTTAGAGATACCCAAGATGATGGAACTTCATGACATACCAGGAAAAATCTGTGTGATGGTATAACATTTCAAGTACTCAAATTATAGAGAAAGATTTGCGTCCTTAAATATCCAGGCCAGTAAACTGCAAAGCATAACTTAATAAGAAACAAGCTTTCATTAGTTCCAGGAATTGGACATTCCTTGAAATGTTGGGATTTCTCCAATCTGCAGTTATGGTAATTACATTACATTATTTAGGTCAAGAAAGTTACGTGAAATACTTCTAGAGTTGACTGACCTTTGAGCTTTTGAGACTTTACTAGTTAATTCATTTGAATACAAAAACCTTCTCATTTAAAAGAAAGGAAGTGTATTGACAAATGTTTGGATGCACTTATTACAGTAAACAAGGAGAAGAAAACCTGTTGATTCATGAAGAAATAAGGATGGACTCACAAATTTAAAGAAACGTTTTTCGTAGTTTTTTAGTTGTCTTGGAAATAATGGGGTACAAAACATTTGTATAAACTATTTTGTTGCACCAGTTATGGATGTACGCTGATCGCATCTAGCAATTACATCTAAAGTGATAATTTTCATGATTTTGCGTGTCAAGCTGACATCAATTTCCAGGAGCAGTGTGCTAAATGTATTGCTTCGATTTCATAGAGCCACAGTATTGATTACTGTTTGTTTTTTTAAACTCTGTTGCCATTGATTCTGCACAGCCTTAGAGAAAGTGAAGATGATGAACAAATATCATTGCAGAGAGTTCATTCAGTGGATCAATTGCCTCTAAAATACCCCCGAAAATGCTAAGTGTTTGTTTATCTGTTGCAGAACCATTGCTGTGGTGCCCAAGGTCCAGATGACTGGGACTTTAACATATACTTTGACTGCAGGAGTGAGAGCAAAAGTCGGGAGAAGTGTGGTGTTCCTTTTTCCTGTTGTATACCTGATCCTGCCGTAAGTTGTTTCCTGACTTTGTATTTCTCTGATTTTGTTGGAGAGTTATGAAAGGAAGTACTTCCTGAATAAGGTGTGATGACTAGAGCTTTAAAAGTTCTAAATGAGCAAAAATTACCCTTGTGCAGACAAACTTTTCTCATGCTTCTGTTTCGTCCTTTTTAGAGGCCAAATGTGGAAATCTTGTACAGCTGAAAATACATTGTCACCAGGAATTCAAGCTATTTTTATATGGCTTGAGTCTGCAAGTATTGCTGGCTTATATATATTTTTTTTATTCCTGGTGTGTTGTTTCCTTAAATTTCTGGCCTCTTATCTAGCTTGTAAGGACCTGAGAGTGCTGTCTAACGTGTTTGCCCCAGTTAGAATTAATGTTACACCACCCCTCTGCAAGACAAGGAGGAGTAACTCCATTTGATGGTTTATCAGCAACCAGTAAAGTGCTCATGCACAAGCTCAGTTTAAAGCATTTGAGTCAACTCTCTGGTTTTGGCAAGATTTAGGTGCTTATTGGTTAGATCTGTTTACTAAACTTTAGGAATCTGACCCTTTCAGTGGAAACCAAAATGTGGAGTTAGGAACTAACATATAATACTTTATAATATTAATGGGAATAGCTACAACTCAAGTCAGTCCAGCAGTCTTTGTGCAGAGCAAATAACTGTTGGTAGGTTATACTATGGCTTTTGATTGTATTGGAAATCAGCCAAGGAAAGGCTTTGTCAGGGAAATATTCCATGTTCAGATTCCCCAGTAATTATTTTCTGCTTTAAATTGGCAGTACTATTCCACTGCAGCTTTTTCTGTTGCTGGTGCTGTATTTAAGGAGACAGAAATATGTTTAAATCTTTTTAATACGAGATTCTACACCTAATATTTCAATAGAACTCGCTATGCATTGTGTAAATTGTGCTATAATCGTGTAATAGATACATTTTCATAAGTCTCATACAGAGAAAACAAAAAATGTCTTAAAAGGAATGTCTGCATCTTTGGAGGTGAATGCTGTCATTGGGTTGTATGGTGTTTGTGATCAGGAATGTGTTTATGGTCTTGAGATATGCAACTGGAGTGTTTTGTCTTCAAGACTGGGTATATCTTGGAGCTGGGTTATGTGTGAGACTGAACTATCAACTGAGGGGACTCATGTAGCTTGCAGCTGTTACTTGTTTTAACTAATTGGGATAGCAAGTTGTATAGCACTTGAAATGGTGGAGTTGAAAGGCATTTTCTTGACTGCAGGTGTAAATAAGTCAGACTGGTACCTTTATTGTTACCTCAGTGTTTAGGTGTTGTGAAATAGTGAACATGAAACTGATCTTGGAAATGCAGATGTCTTATCTGTATGCTGGCAGTACAGTTGCTATGCTTCATGTTAAAAAATCCTTGCTAGTTGAAAGCCAAGCAATAGAAGCAGCTGGGATTTCCAGGAAGGATGTTTTCCTGATAGTACGCACCTCTGCTTTGTCATTACTTTTCTTGTGTTCTGCTAGTGCTTTGCTCATTTTTACTAAAAATGCTTCTTAAAATGGTGGGCTCTGACAGTCCTGATTTGTTTGTCTGCGAGTTTAAAAGACAGAGAACTTCATCTGAACAGAAGTGTGTAGAATTCCATTGATTTATTTTAAATCTTTTTTGCTTTGCAGCAAAAAGTTGTGAATACACAGTGTGGCTATGATGTCAGAAAGAAGGTAAGGTGCTGGGATCTTGCTGTCTGTCATGTTCTGTGCTTGCATAGGCAAAACTATGAAAACAGTGGAATTGCTGATAGATATATCAGCTTAAGATTCTGGGAGGTAATTGACTGTGCTACATCATACTACAAGTAGAGTGTGGTAGAGATTTTTGTTTGTTTAAAGTAAACTTGTACTGTGGGAGAGTGGAGAAAAGTGATGGAACAGGTAAAGGGAAAAGTGTGTTTCAAAAAGGGATAGGACTTGCATTTCAAATGTGTGTTGCTGTTCTTAGTTATAATAGTCTAATTCTGATTTTTTTTAATCTGCTAATTCTAAAGTGTTCTAATAACAGGATTTGCAGGAAGATACTAACATCAATGTCTGACATGCCCCAATTTAATCAAGGCATATATGTACTTCTAGAGTCTGGTTAAAAACATTACTGCATGAGTGACCAGTCGTTAGTTTAGCTATATCATGGGATTGACTGATCTTGTAATAAACTTGAGCAGAAAAGTAATATTCTTATTCTTCTCTACATTCAGAACAAGAGTCAATGGGATGACCAGATTTTTGTCAAAGGATGTATTCTTGCTCTTGAAGCTTGGTTACCCCGAAATATCTATATTGTTGCAGGTGTCTTCATAGCTATCTCACTGCTCCAGGTTAGTTGTTTTTGTTATGCTACTTTGAAAAAAGTTTCAATTCAGCAGATACAGACCTGCTGAAAGTAAAAGTAGTTATGGAGAGAAGTAGAGTAAATATTTTGACACTGAATTTTTTTAGGTATGAGAATAATATGGCTGTATGTACTTAAAAATTGATCAGAAAATTGACTGGATCATCCAAAGTTGTCAAATGAATGAAAATGCCTAATTTGTAACTTTAACAATAGGTAAGTGTGAGTGTTAGAGCACTCAGACTTGGCTAAGTGGATTTCTTCCAGCTCTAGGGCATCTACAAGCTTATTTTGAATGCTCCTGAAATGTTACATGAAAACATCTTTTTCTCATAAGCTTTATTTCTTGCAAGAATCTGCTGCCCTTATTACTTTTTAGTAATAGCCATGCTTTGATGGATGATCCTGGCTATGAAATGATATCTAAACCTGCAAACAAGCACCTTGCAGACTGGTGTACATTACAAGTGTGTCATCTCACGAATGGTTTGTTTCTCTGTCTTTTTAGATTTTTGGGATTTTCCTTGCCAGGACGTTGATTTCTGATATTGAAGCTGTAAAGGCAAGTAATGCCTTCTGAATATAAAAGCAGAAACGTGTTGCAAAAAAGTATATTTTACGGTTATTGGTTGGACACCAAGGTGGAAGAAATGCACAGACCATGAAATACTCCTCTTATTGAAAGCCTTATGTGGATTTTACCCTGCTCATGCTTTTTGTTAAAGCTGGTACAAAAAAAAAAATCTCTGAACAGACACCTGTCTACCTTTTTCTAACGAGACAAGTCAGTGCACCAGCATTGATCTGAGGAAGAAATGGAATTTCCCAAGACATTGGCAGAACAGATTTTTAAAGATTGTAGCAAGGAGTTAAGAAATCGCTGTAAAGTCTTTCCTTGAAGGATTACTATGAAGATTGTTCTGTTTTCAATCCCAACTGTCATCAATCTCAAAATGTAATCCTTTCAGAAGGCGTGTTGATTTCTTCAGAGTGTTGAAACCATTTTAATCTCTGCAGTAGACTCATGCAGTCATTTTTTGGCAAGATACCCAGCAATCATAATCGTCGTGGTACTGGAAACTGAAAATAAGAAGTCACAAATTGTCCAGTTCTTTAATTGATTTTTCAATTGTGCGGAAGTAGGGATTTTTCTGTTTGGGAATAATGTAGATGTCTCAGGAGCAGGAACCTTGTGCTCAGCATCAGAGCTTGAGTAACCCATGCTGTTTTGAAAATTGCAAGCCTTTCCTCAAGGGGCAGGGGGGGAAATCTATCAGTAGCATTATATGTTAGAAATCTCCATTTCAGGCAAGGGAGTGTGAATCCCTGATGCTGTTTCCTGTTTGAAAAAATGTAAATATACTTTATTTATAGAAGAAAAAAACACTTTAAAAACGTTTAGCTTTTTATTGATCAGTAATATCTTAAAGTGCCGTCTGCAGAAATTTCAAAATGCAGCTTGTTTCGGTAGGTAGCAGGCATGCTATACTAGCTGTTGATGTTTTTTTGCCTTTCCTCTAGTTTCTCTCAACTGCTATATTGATCTTCACAAGTCCTAACTGCTAATATTGGGACTGTTGAAAAAGATTTAAATTCAGCATTGATCCCTACTGAAATCTGGTTTTTTATGAGGAAATACGTGTTTGGTGAAAGGTTAGAGTTGTTGAATTTTTAAAGCTTCTGTAAAGCTATGGAATCAGTTCTGCTTGTATTCTGATACGTGGTTCAAATGCCAGTCACAGTATGGTGAACCAGAATGATTTCTTCACAGTAATTTTCTGCATCACTGAACTACTCCTCCTGAAGTCAATTTTTTAATTTTTATGGGAAGAAAACTAAACTCTATTCTTCCCGTCCTCCCTTCTTGGGGGTTCAGTAGAGTTCCAGTCTTCTCTAAAAGACTTTGGCATAGTATTTTTAGCTTTAAGATAGAAGTATGTGACTGAAAAGTTCTTGGAAGTAGCTGTAGCTGTCAGTTTTACTCTGGGCCATAGAACTAACATTGTTTACTGCTTCCAATGACACCATTTTTTTCAGGGAGAGCAGGCTTATTTACAGTGCCTAACATAGTGTAAATTTTAGAAAAGTATATATTTTTATAATGATATCTTACTACATGTAGTCTGCCTGAAGGATTTAATACTTGTATTTCCAGAGTATATGATTTTATTAGGAAGCCAAACTTTAGAGAGATATTTAAATGTCCTTTTTTCTGTTATGCATGTATTAACGAACATTTCACTGACAAAAGCTGATCAACAGTAGGAATTTTTGTGTCTGAATTGATTGTCCAGACATCCTTCTAGCTTTTAATCTGTGAAGGACTTCAGACAATGCTGTACTTCTCACGTGTACTTCAGTTGAGCTTTTATAGTTCTCTTTCTGGCCGGTGATTGAGACACAACAGGAAAAGGAAGCTTGTCTAAGGATGGCTGATTTCCTTACAGTAACAGAGAACAGTCTGCTATTACTCATCTGAAAACCTGAAAATCACTATAAGTGCACTATGACTATTTTTTTTAGCTTTGATATAAGGAAACAATAGCAGTAGATCACTGAGGGGAGAGCAAGAGGCATTTCTTCTGCAGAACCTTGAATTTGAGGTCTGTATTACTTATTTGTGGAATCTAGTCCATTAGGAGCAGCCACAAATTTGCAGCAAGCAGCAAAGCAGTGTCCAGCAACCTTTACTTTAAACTCTGGTGCTTGAAACTTTACACAACTTCATCAACTAACTTACTCAGTTAAGGTTATGTGTAATAATCTGATGTTTTTAAAATTGGAGGAGGATGCTTTCTGTTTGTAACCTTTTATTTGTAAAAGATTGACTTGAAATTAGCATCTAGGGAATACGTTTCCCTTTGCCACTTTTTGACACAGCTCCTAACGCTGGGAAGTAATTTCAGCAGTTTGTGAAAATCATCATGGTGTCAAAGATTTCTGTGGAGTTCATGCACTGAAATTAGCTGCTGACAAGAGCCAGTGTCATGGATCAAGATTCCAGTGTCTGCAATCTTGCCAAGTTGCCTGAAGACAAATGAATACTTGGTTTGTTTTTTCAAGTACTGTTTGTATGGAAAACAATTTAATTGAAGTGTTGTCTTTCCGCAGTTTGTTCTTACTGGCTTTGGCCATATTATCACCAGCTTTGTATCAATGCTGCAGTTATTTGGAACTGAATTCAAGAGAGCGAGTTCAGCCTATTTCAGGATCCTTAAATTCATGCAGTGATTTTCGCTGTGGATAAATTTCTCTGTATCACTTTTAAAACCCTGGGGCTCTAGGCTAGTTTACCCCTAGACATTTTGAAGTGCAGCCCCATTGGTGGTACACATGGCTAGTGTAATTTCAAACTTGGAATGGGAATACTCCCTTGCCACTTTCTACTGTGTTGTATTTAGCATCTTCTCTTTGGACCTGCAGTGACTTTATGGCTAAAGATTTAGGTTACGGTTTAAAGTCTTTTCAGCAAAAGTAGTTGGGTGGGAGCCTGCCTCAAAAGAGAAGGAATTCGATGATCTCACAAAGACAGGTTTGATAAATTGATGTTGAGATTTCAGTGGTTGCATTTGGACAAACACTACAATGATAACGAGGTTTTTAATGAAGATGTCAAATATGAGGTCAGACTTGAATAACTAGGCTGAGAGAAAGAAACTTTTCAGTGTGATCACTTTTATTTCTCAGAAATAAGCACAATTTATTTCTGTGAAGCAAGGTATTTATTTGTCAGTATGTTTGACAGTGCAGCTGCCCTTTTGTTTCTATTAATATGCCTACATTTGGACACAAGTTTCCCTGTACGTGAAGAGGAGGATGAATATAAGCACTGAAAAAAGTGCAGTGACCAAAGGAGATTCAGTTACCTCCTGAAAACATGAATATTTCTTCCCAAGGGGTCTTTAATTTTGGTGACCCTCATACAGTGCCATGTGGATAGTCTTGTACCTCCACTCCATTGAGGTTGATGTGGCAACTGGCTTATACATAGAACTGCCTTATTTCTTGTCTCCCCATTCCATCCTTTCCTCTTCCCTTCCCCTACCGCCTGTGGGTTACCATGCAGCTTGACCGTTGTTTAGCCAGTGGAAGATGAGGTTCTGTCTCTTCTGAGATGGCTTTTCTGAATGACTTTAAGTATATTTTTTTCTCAAACCTTAAATTTCATTAAATAAAATTTAATGTTTTGCACTCCTGGAGTTTGATTTCTAAGATTTGTTGCTTCCAGTCACTAGTATTTCCCTCTCTAAGATTTAGACTGGCTACTGAGACTGCATTTTGTGGATAACTACGGAAATGGTAAAGGTCCGCTGGTGTTCATGTGTATTTTGCTAAAACTGATTCTGGATTAGTTTCAGTCTGTACTGCTGAATAATAGGTAACACTGGTGCTTTTCTATCCATTGTTAATGGAAAGCTATGAACAAGAGCTGCAGAATGGTGTAGAGAAATTATTAAATCTCTGGAACACCCAAAAAGGTAAAACTGCTGTTAGCACTTTGACTGCCATTATCCAGTTATTGCTCTTGTGATTTGCAGAGTCTCTGGTTTGTCATGTCTGAGCAATGTTCCTGAAACTACTTGTAAGAGTGCAGAAGGGAAGTAACTTCCAGAAGTTGAAGTTTGCAGAAATGGTGAAGTTGGCAGGAATAGGTTTGTGTCTGCTTCTTTGACCATTTTAATGTTTCTTTAATGAATTAAAAGGTAAGGTCAGAGAAACATTTAACCACTAGATAATGGTCATATTAGAATAATACAATATCTGGAATTAGATACTGTAGAGTGTTAAGGCTGGATCATTTCTGATAAGAATGATTTGACTTGAATGTGGCTATTGGGTGTGTGTATATGTCGGACTTGTAATAGACCCTGATGGATCTCATGCTAATACCTGGTTTAAGCACAACCCCAGATCTTATTCTGAAGTTGAGATTGTCTGAAGCTGGTTCTCATTTTGACATTGGAAATGTATAGGATGCTCATATTGCTGTATGATGTAAGCTAGAAGGAACTGCACATGGTTCAGCTTCTTTTCTCCTACTATGTGGTCAAAGCCTGCTTATTGCTCACCAGGTGACTTGCCTGGGATGGTTTTATGAAATTCCCTTTCTCAAGAATACTCCTGAAAGTGATATTTGGTGGTGAATGTAGTAGACTAAATAGTGTTAACAAGTTTTGCAAATGGGAAAGGTTCTGCAGGAACAAAGTTGTAATGTTTGTTAGCAGACCATAAGCCAGTTATCCTCAGATTGTTTGAGAAAAGGAGGCCTTGTTGGCTTTTAAACATTCCATGCTTTATAACAATTTTTTAAAGGTCAGTGCTTTTCTGTTTTTTCTCAATACCTTCTACTGCTGGCTAAAAAAAGTCATTGTTCTGTAGCGGTTGGGTATCTACCACTACAGGGTTTTGAATTTGATCTCTTAGGTCTTGGCGATATGACTCTGCAACATACTTGCAACTGCTTCAAAAAGTTCTCATAAGAACAAGTTGTGCAATAGATCCTCTTACCTTTTTTTAATCGTGACCATTTTTAAATATGAAAAATTTCTGTATGTTTGGACACATTGGTTTTACTACAATTTTTTAGTACATTTTTACTAAAAAAATTTTACTAATTACAAGAATTTTGCTAATTTTACTGATTTACTACTAATAATTTTACTACAAGCTACACAATTTTACTACAGTTTCTTATTATCTAAAGTTAAACCCCGGGTCTCTTACTGAAGATTACTGAAATGTCAGCTGCCTCCAAATCTTCACACATGCCCATTTGTAATTTCTAACTAGCTTTAATTTATATCTTGTCCAAGCACTGTATGGACATTGCAGTTTCTTATAAA